AATAGCCATGTATAAGCTTCTTTAATTAATAACTCAAAAATAAAGTAATTTTGTGAATATATCTTTTTATTTGAAAGTATAACGCAAGAAATCTTGGTATGCATTTTCTAGCTTTTGACGTCATTAAACAAGGATAGTCATAGCGACTATCAGGAATCTTGATACACTATATAAATTTAGTTCCGATTTTTGCGAACATTTTGCATATGTAAGATACTTGAGTTTTCAATATTTAAAAATTTCTTTCTTTTTTTTTTTAGTTGTGATGATATGTTTCCGGATGGTCAAGAGACATTACCTAAATCTTCACATTTTGATACACCATACAGGATAACTGCTAAAAATTTTAATATAAATAAATACTTGAAACAGAATACAAGTGAATTCAACCAAGAATATGAAAGATGTATGAAAAATAGTATAAAGAAATCACAGATAATAGAAAATAGTACAGAAAATAAGTATAAAAAAGTAGAAGTGGCAAGTAGAAGAGTGGCAGAAAGTAATTTGCCAAAAACTATATGTAGTGAAAATAAGTTATCAACGATAGAACAAACCGTATCGAAGATAACTACAAATTCCTTTTTGTTGAAGACAACGATACCTGATAAACTATCGCGACAAATTTCATACGTAGATCATCAACTTGCAAGCTCTACAAATTTAACGTTATCTGCAGTCCAAAACACGCAAATTTTTATAAATCCCGATACCATTCATTATTATTTTCGAGGATACTGTTTTTCGACATTGAGATACTCAAAATGCAATCGAATTTCGAACTGTCGTTTTAAACACAATGTAGGTATATTCGTTTTTTTTCTTTTCATTAATCGTCTTATACGTGCTTCAATATATTTTATTTTTAGTTACAGGATTTTGTTAGTGGTTTTCAATCTGTAAACTCTGATGGTATAATGTATATAATAGAATATGCTGCTAGTTATCAAAGATTTTATTTTTTCTGCCAAGAAATATATAAAATATCATTAGTAAAATTAAATATCAATCAGATCTTAAAAGTATATAAGATGTTTTATGAAATGTTTACATTAACAAAGGATATTACTTGCAATATTATTAAAGAATTATTAAATAGAAAAATGCCATTAAAAACTGTTGTGGAGAGGATTATAAAATCCATCTGTTCATTTACTGAGCCAGGTGTGTCACTCGCTAAAATTGGAGAAAATTATAAAATATTCCAATGTATAGAACGGTTTATAAAGCCTGGTGAATATTGGTATATTGCAAAAAGCATGTTATCGATATTTATTAAACCAAATAAGAATATTATTGAGAACATATTACGCGACTGCATAAATAATAAAAAGTTATCTAACGTTCAAGATATTAACACTATATTATTAAGTAAACTTCAACCTGATATAGTGTCACAATTAGATGAACACTTAATAATGAGTTTCAAAAGTTTATTGACTGGAAAAGCCGCAGAGGATACCAGCCCTGTAACATTGGTTGAGGATTTTGGGCAGAGTTGTATGCAAGTGAATATGATTGCTTCTCCTGATTCAAAACAAAGTTCACATCAAGCGGAATCATCGACAAGTTGTAATATTATTGTTACAAACAGGAACCAGGCAAATGAGATTAAATGTGATCGAAAAGTCAATACAATAGATGGCAGACCTTACATACTGCAACCTATCGGTAATTATTATACTTTAATTGTTAATATATCATGGAAATTATACAGTATGTCTGAAACCTTTTTCGGGATTCAGGTTTGTACAGGTGGAACGAGTGATTTTTATACAGAGTCCGGCCTATATGATCATAAGTTCGTACAGTTTAATTAGTTCCTTGTTAACTATTGCGAATTTTGTAAAATGGTACATAACTTTTCTGTCCAGTTTCATCCGTTCTATTTGCACACTACGGATCCTGAGAAAGATTTGAGACACCCTGTATGCTTGTTTCCGTTATGATATTCTTGACGCTATATACAAGATGTCTCTGATCAACAGAGACAAACTTTATAAGAACATAGAACGGATTGGGATGAACAAAAAAGTCCTTTACCATTTTGGAAACATGCAAAATTTCGAATTATTAATTATTGAAAATGGCCATATATAAAGGCATTTTACTTAATAAATCGAAAATTTACGTGTTATATACGTGTCATTTGCAAAATGGTGCAGGATTTTTTGCTCCTAGAATGGCCTAATCTATAAATATATGATAGCTGTTGTACCCAACGACAGGTTCAAGGTTCAAAGTTTAAGATTCAATATATTAATGTTTGTCGCTAGGTACAACAACTGTCATATATTTGTAGGCTACTTTTCGAACAAAAATCACCACTGTACCACTGTACCATTTTGCAAATAACACGCAAATTTTTGAGTTATTAATCGAAGAAGCCTCTATACATGGCCACTTTCAATAATTGATAATTCGAAATTTTATTGTTCAATCAATTATCGTTACTAGGAGATCTTAAGAAATAAAGCATTTTCCTTACATGCTCGAAGCCATCTTTCTTTATATATGCCTACGGAATTCGGCCTATCACTTCCCGTGCGCTCATTTGCTCGGACAAATTAATTACTCATTAACTATTGAAAATGTTGGTACTTGACCTTGTTACTTACAGTTTAACCTATTCTATCTACGCATAGCCGCCGCTCCGTCAAAACTTTCCAGACACCTTGTATAAATACATACATATATATATATATATATATTCTTCATTCCAGATGATTTGCCGGAACCACGATCTATCTACAGAAATCATAAAAATCTATGGAAATTCTATCTGGACTTAAAAATAGTTAAACGGGGACTTGTACATGAAGATTATGATTATATTATTCAAGTTCTAAAACGTTACACACAAAAAGAGGATGCAAACTACTTCATTCACTCATGTTGTAACATGATTCGAACCGAGATAAAGCGTTCCGATCACCATTTAAAAAACATAATACAACGAACAGGTAAAAAATATTTTAATATCGAGGTTTAATATCATAAGTTGTATTAATTGAAACAAGTTATAATGTTCATTATATACTGGTATAGTATTGTATGTATAACTAGCCACTTTATTAGAACTCTCAACATATTTTATATTTTATGATAACAAGCTGTGATAGAAATAACCAATTTCTATAATTAAGTTCAATTATTATTATATTCATAATGAACATATGACTCATAATATTTAGTTTATTTTTTATATTTAATACATAAAAGATGTATATAATAATAATATATAATAAATAAATATATAATATATAAAGTATTTTTTTTATCATTATTTTATCGATACAACATATTTTATGTATTGCACTGTAAAATATCAAAACAATAAATAAACAATATTAATCAACTTTATATAGACTGCCTACTTGATTTATTTTTTGAAATTTGATTTAATTCACGTTTTGGACATTTCAGTCCAAACTGGTACCTTTGCTGTTCTGCGTAAAATATTATTTGACATAGGAGTAAACATATTGGTCGCTTTAATGGACGAAGAGGCTTGGAGACCTGCACTTCACCTTGTCGAATCACTTAAAATATGTGATTTACCATCTAGCGCGGAGTTCATTATGTTATCGGCTGAGATTTATTTAACTAACAAGAAAACTTTAAAGGCACTCGATTTATTCAAAAGTGAGTTCGTTTTGCAAATTTTAATAACATGGAAAAAGAAGTACCTCGCTTGTAAATATAAAAATGTTCATTAGATATATCTTATTAATGTGTAGAATTGTCTTCCACACGTTACGCATAAACGTAAGTGTTGATTTTCAGTGGATCTTATTGATTATCACTAAGATAATAGCAATTATAAAAAAAAGAAAATATTATACACTGCTAATATTGATAGATCTTTTTAAGCTCGTTTTTTTATTTATTTTTTATTTATCTTCCTACGTTAATTTTTTCAGACAAAAACATTATATGCACAAGCCGTGCCAAGTGGCGTGTTGCAAGCACTGTTCACGATGAATATGTAAGAAACAAATTAATATATATTCTATTGGATTCACTTTGTAATGGCTTAATTGACCATGCCTTCTACCTTTTTACATTTTTACTTAAAGATCAATCCAGCCAGTTTTATCCAATAGGTAAAGTGCCAAATATCTAGTATTCTCACTCGTTTGTTATTGTTGCACGCGTCATTATATTGTACAATTGCATTTTACTATTTCTACAATAATACATAAAAATTGTGTTGTCGTTTTTAGATTTGTCTCGTTACGTGGACAAGTTGATCGTGCTACTTTTATCGAAAAATGAGATTGCCTTAATTACGGAAATGGCAAATTTGATACTTAAATATAATTTTCCGTTGATTATGAAAACATGTCGTGCATTGATTACAACTTTAATACATGTAGACGAAAAATTAGCCATGCAGTTGTTTTATTACGCAGAAAGCATAGGTTTCTATTCGACACTGAAGGTAAAGATATTTGATTTTTTTACTTATATGAAATAAACTTATGCAACAGAAATAAAATAACTATATATTTATAATAATGTAACTACATATTTATTGAATAATTTATATGTATATTTTGATATGTAGAATGTTACATGTATATAATTCTTTTTTTTTTTCTTAATAACTTAATAGTTATTAAGTAATGTTTTAGGTTAAAGCTCGGCTATCCTGGGCAGACGGACTGATTTTGTGATGTTATAAGTTAGAAATGACATGCAATAAGTTTTCGAAAAATATAATAATTTTTTAATCCTGAAACCTGGTAAATTTTCGGCAAACTGAGATATCTATCAGATATGTCATATGGAATGTAGGATTATAAAACTATTACATTTTCCAAGGAAAATTAAAAAATAAAACTATATATCGCAAAAAATTTACTGCATATCATCTCATTTCTCGCTTATGACCTTATAATCCAATATAGCTGCCGAGAAATAGCCAAGCCTTAAATAATGTTAAGTAAAGTTTCATAAAATTGAGATACTTATTATGTATAGCTGTGGCCAGTACCGCATATTATTATAAATAATAACTTAACGGAAGAAGAAATATATTTTGTAATTTTACAAATGCTACAAAAGCTCAAAATAAATTTTGGACATACGATCGAACATATTAAGTCGCCACGGATCGTGGTGTATCTTATCTTTGAGGTAAGCATTTAAAGTAAATGATTACGTTCGGAATAGAACAAAATATTTACTAAAATATCAGTGATTTTACTAGATCAAATTAAAACATATTTTTGGGTTTTTATTAGATATAAGAGTTATATACCAGCTATATCCTTTAATAATTAAATATACGCTTCGTTTTGCCGAATGCAACTAATTTTCTTTTTAAAAAGCAAAATTAAATTTGCTATGTTTCACGTGTCTGACATTCGTAGAAAATATGTATCAATGGCGTTGGCTTTGTCATCATATTTCTTTTTATACATTGCCTCATATCTTCATTAATTTACAGGTGAATTTGACGAAACAGTTTTACTCCGCCACGCAACAGAACTTTAACAGTAAAGCAATTCAAAATATCAAGACATTAGTAAGAAGTGTTTTGAAAAAACGATTTGATCCACCTATGGTATTAATATCACATGCTAAAGAAAAAATATGTAGATTACAAATCAAAAGTCTTATAAATTATCTGAAGTCAGAACATTGCAATTAATTATAATTATTCGTCACTCTTAAGAAAAAAATGATACTTCAAGCACTTTAAATATAGGATATTTCTATTATTGCATTTTATCGCTGTCTCTCTTTCAACAATGTAGAAAAATTTACTTTGTTTATATTGTACATGCTACACATAATTTTATTTTTTGAACAAGCATTAAAGATAGACACGATGGTTACAATCGGAGCAATTTATAACTATAAATTTTGATATACATGCTAGTTTTTTTTTTACATATTATTTTTGGAGTTCGAGTTTAATTTTTCTATTTTTCTTTTATGTATACATATTGTAACTTTTATATCTTTTTGTTTTACGTGCTTATACCGCATTAAGTTGCATTAAGTTGTGATTAATTTGTATGTATTATTGGCATATACTTTTATTAATTTTTTTTTTTCTTTATATACATTCTCTTTCTCTCTCTCTCTCTCTTTCTCTTATATATATTTCTGTCAACTTTATTAACTATTTTATCATACAGAGATGTAAATATATCATGGTATCATATATTAAACAATTTTATATATGAACTTGGATTCAAAAGTTATGTTTTATTCTGTAGGAAAGAAATTGTATTAGATATGCATAACCAGCAGATACACACCGAGTGCTTAAGAAGTAAAAATTGTTAACTAAATTTTTGCACACGTTTGATAATTCGTATTAACAGTACACATGTAGATTTAATATTGAATTGTAAACACATAAATATTATGTAATTTTCAACATTATAGTGAATACATATTTCAATATTATTATAAATATACAATCACAGCTGTTTGTAAGTACACACAATTTTATTTGTGGAATATTTTCATTATGTTTCTAGTTTTTGCCAAGTAACCACCTTAGATTTTTTTTAACATCTGTATGGCAATTATAAAAAAATTGTTATGCGAGGAAATAAAATGCTAATAAACATGCGTTATACTAGGAATGAGTTTCACTATTTCAATAATAAAAAATATACTAATATGAATACATTTTTTATATCATCCAACCATTTGAATAAAAATGTTATGAAAAAAATGTCATACCATCATGTTATTGTTACTAACTCTACGTTTTCGTAAAAGGACTCATACTGCTGCAAATATATAAATACTTCAATGTAAAACTGAAAAGGAAAATTTTTTTCATCTGCAATTCACTCCTGCAATTCAACATGCTCATATAAACAAAAAATATCGCATATCTAGATACATTTTATAATACAGCACAACTTGAATTAAATAAATAAGTACTATGTGCATATATACATAAAAGTTCAATCAAATTCAGGTATGTCGTCAAAAGAATATCCAGGTACTTTCTGATACGCTAAAATGGCTACCCTCATATGATAAGCCCCTGGTATGAACATCAAGGCCCCTAAAATGATCACCGGCCACATTCGATCCGAATACTGCAATATAAACAAAATTGTTCTTATGATACGTAAAGTCAAACAATTGTTGTAATAATTGATTAATATATTTCAATGTGCTTGTCTATCTATTCGTGAAATACAGAAATTATTTCATATTTCTTTAAAGTTACATGCTAGATGTCCTTATTGTACAATAGTATTATACAGGGCTTGCCCCCTAGCATCATACAAGTCTGACGCAAACCATTCATCCATCGTATATTTGTAGGTCAATGTAAACAAAAAAATTTATTTTGCAAACAACTATGCAAAATTTTTAGTTATTGATGAATTGAAAATGGCTATGTATATTTTTTTAATTAATACCTCAAAAATTTGTATGATTATTTGGAAAATAGTAAAGAACGTTTTTTCTCAGAATGGCTTAATCTACAAATACATGACAGCTTGCATTTACTGACAAACATCAATATAATCAATATATAATCTTGAACCTCGAACCTTGAATCTGTCGCTAGGTACAATAGCTGTCATATATTAGTAAATTAGGCTATTCTAAACAAGTCTATTATCATTTTGCAAGTATGTAAATTTTTGAGTTATTGGTTAAAGAATCTTCTGTACATGATCATTTTCAGTAATTAATAACTCAAAATTTTGTACATGGCTGCTTGCAATATAATAGAAGACTTTTGTGTTCATATTGATCTGAACTACAAATATACAACGGATAGGACGGCTTGAGTCAAACAGCCTGAACCGTCAAGCAATGAGTAAAAACTTACTTTCGAATCAATGTGTCCGCTTACAATCAAGCTTCCCATGATGAGCATAATGGTTCCTCCAACAAACAGAAGAGCCGCTAATGTGATAGCCTTCCATGGGATCTTCACTGGTGGGCTTACAAACTGGAGAAAAAATATATTATTCTTATTAAATATGCAAAAAATGCTGTATATATTTGAAACATGACATAGATGAATACATGATTACACATCTTATGCAGCAACAGACAACTTGTTTCTGACTAAACTTACTGAGATTATATCGTTCTTCGCTCACCTGTGAATCGAAGAAACCATTATCGGTTTCTGTTAATTGTGTGTAATCCACGTTGTCGAATTGTCTGTCACTTCGAACTTTCTTTCTGCACATGCTCGCCTTATGAATATAGTCTGGAAGAAGGATAATACAATGTTATTTCTATTCGTTGAAAATAGCATCGCTGCATTGTTAACTGTTACTTTCGTGTCGTATTTATTTCGCTCATATATCATTCCGTTCGCAAGCATGCTCCGCTTCTTACAGTCAGCTCGCAGCACTTTTATCGTCCGCCTCGATACACCGATTACCCCGAATGCGTAAAATTACCGTAGCATTTCCGGCAAAACCTCGTCGCTTCAGAATTCTCTCTCTCTCTCTCTGTGCTTTGCGTGCAAACGGTTTGGCCTATTTACGCTGATCGGCATGTATGAATAGAGCACGTCCTGCGTACTCGAATAATGACAACTGGTATCTCTTTCCATTCCGCTTCATTCAATGAATCTAAGTATGCGTTTTCGCATTCAACGCGTAATTATGTCCCCGAGCCAATTCAACGCATTCTAACTGGTAGATCGATGATGTTTATTACTCAAAGGACTGCGAAGGCTTGCGTCTCTCTTGAATTTAATTAAATAATTCGAGAACCGTCGCACGGAAGGCTTCGCACACGAGAACACGTAAACATTAAACCCGGAAACCCTCAAAGGCGTCGTTCTCAATGCAACACGAGACATCACTAGAATTAGCGAACTTGAACAAAACGAGGTGCAATCGACCGAGGGGGGCCTTATTGTAAATCGACAACCGTCCTTTTGTAAAAGTCGACAATTAAAAGGTCAATCGCTTACGACATTCAACTGTCGTGTCATCGGAAAGTGAGAATATCCCGCCTTTGTTGACATCATCATCCCTTTTTTCCATCCTGACGTAACGTTTCGAAGTTAACGTTGATTTCCTTAACCGCTTATCTTATCTCACGCATCTCGACGAGTAAATAATAAACGTCATTACCATCGAATTATCTCGCCATGCTCGAGTTGCACGAAGATAACATGGCTCGTGGCTCGCACACGAAGCTATGACGCGCTACGTCCTCCCGGTGAAACGTTTCAAATCAGACAAACAGCACGGCGTTTAACGACGGAAGGTCGATCGTTACGCGACTCAAGTGCGACTGATAAAAAAAAATACCTCCGGCGACATCGTATCGAATAATTCGGAATGCCACCGAGAGCAATGCGAAGATCACGAGAGATCACTGGACACGCGCCACCGAGCTGAAACTCGGCGCAACAGGACTCGTCAGCTGCTCGGAAAACTGCGACTGTCCTTGTCAGTCGCGGGGAGCCCGCATTATCGAACAACGTAATTGCGCGTCAGCGGCCCGACGCTGTTCGACGAGCCGCCGCGAGATGGCGCCTCGGAATCTGACGATCGCCGCTGCCATCTGCAACACCGCGACAGTGCGACCGGACAAAATCAAGCGGGAAGGGAGAACGGGAAGGACGAGCGTGGGAATTTCAAGATTTTCTTCACGAAGGGTGCCGATCCCGTACGACACGAATACCGTAAGCCACTTACTCAAGACTCCGAATATTTGTCGTTCGATTAGTCACCGTTACCGAGTGATTAGTAACGAAATCGTAAATTCGTCGCGCCGAGTACAATTAACGCTTGACGCCGCGTGAAAACACGAAGATTTGTGCATTTCAAGGTGACTCTCGCCAATTCCGGCTAAATCGACCGACAGTTGACTCAACGGAATTAACCAATCGCGTTGATCGATTTAGCTAATTGATCAGCGCGATCAGTCGTCAATTCCATCGAGCTGAGCGTCGTTGGTGAATGTCACCTTCAGCCGAACGAGATTGCACTTTTTGCCTTTAGGGTGGAACAAGTATCTAACTTAGCGTTGAAGACGAGAGGAACGGCGTTCCAGTGCAGTATTAGTTCAGCTGAGACCGACAGGCCTACGGATGTGCGTTCAGAAACGCACAGCGGAGGGTTGCGCGCGTGGCCGGACGCCACTCTCTAAACACGAAAAAAAAGTCCTGAGATTTCCCCGTGAAGTCCGTGTCACGCGTGAATCTTTATCGCAGACTCACGTCCTCCGCTTTCACGTTTTATCCGGAACAATCGCTCCCGTTCGTCAGCGTCGCCGCGAGATTTTTTGTCTAACTAGAGTCGTGATAGACAACGTCGTTCTGACGCATAATTTCCGCACGCAACGCGATTATACGCGAAGGTCCTCGGTAGCCGATCTCGCCGTCGATCTCGTGCGCGGATGGCGTAATTGCCACCCGGACACTCGCATATCGTCCGGGTGGCCGCGAATTTCAGCGGTACGCATGTTAAATTCGAACCATTGAAACATAAATGTACTGGCGGAGGCATATGACGCCTGTGGCAAATTTGCCCGAGACAGGCAGGCGTTCAGAACAATCTATCTCTTATACCTAAACTTATCTAAAGACACATATGCATATACACGGAAAAAAATGAGTCTCGATTCAATGATAGATATTCTTATGTATAAGCAAGAACATTATAATCTTAGAAGATGTTTGGTATTGACTTGAATTCGTATCGATGCAAGTATTACTTGCACTCAACTCGAGACTTAAAATTAGAATATTCTTAAGAATATTATGTATTATAATCTTAAGAATATTATATACTAATTTTCTAGTTTATATATGAGAATACCTATCGTTGATTTAGGACTATTTCTTTTCTGTGTACGGTGAAGAGAGGATGCCCTCAAGTTGGCCTCTCTGTCGGCTTCGCTTTTCTGGGTGCCTCCTTCCAGTATGGATACATTTCAGTGATCCGTACGCAATGCGAATGGTGGAAAGTCGCGGCCGCTAAGTGCCGCATACGTCGCATCGCGCGTCAACGCAGGCATTCGGCAGGATCCATCGCGAATATCCGCTCGACATAAGTAATACTCCTTTCGCAGGAAGGCATCGGATGACGCGCGGTGGTAGGTGGCGAGCGAAAATCCGAGGATGCCCACGTCGGGTGTAAAAGGGACACCGCGGGGACTGTCACCGAGCGGAGGCTCGCGATCTCGTCTTCGTGGAAGGAGGAAAGCCAGTCGATCGATCGTAAATATCGGCCGAATTACGCTCACGATAACGTCACGACGGCACGTTACGTAACCTCTCGGTCACTCGAGCGTCGCGTTAAGTGTCACGGTCAAGTGTCACGCTGGATTCGGGTCGTGTCAGGATCGAGAAGATCGCGCGAGGCGAGTGCTCGGCACACGGGGTATCACTCACTGACAGACAGGCGGATAGACAGATAACAGACAGACAGACGTATCCCGGGGAGATTCGAGAGTCGTCGATCGCTCGAAGGATCGCTCCTGCGGCACGGGTTGCTTCGTACCGAGTACAGATCCTCGGTAGCCTGGCATAGCGAACGACGTAGCACGCGTCGCACTGGATGCTCCTTGACATAGCAAACTCTAGCCTGGAGACTTCTTCTTGGTGATTCCGCTCGTCGGTCGGTCGGTCGTTCGTTCGTTCGTTCGCTCCTTCGTTCGGTCGGATCGATCTGCGAGAGTAGCCTCTCGCGGGAGGCTGTGTGCGCTTTTCCCCGCGTCGCGACGCCTACGACACAGTGGCTGTGTCGGGAGGGTCGGAAGGCGCGAGGCGAGGGTGGATCGCGTCCGGTGATGCGCAGTAAACGTCGGACACGTATGTGCCCGAGAACGACGAGCACCCGGCGAAAGTAAACGGAGCGGAGGGTGGCCTGAATCCCTATCTCGATCATGCACTAATAACGCTCGGCTACTTAAATTGTCCTCCGAACTATCCGCACCGCTTCTGGGTTCTGACATTCACCGCGAGTACTGGAGAACATCTACGCTGAGGAAACGAAACAGTCGGATCGACGATCCGCAGTCAGCCTCATTCAAGGAAATATCGTGTCCGTACACAGAAAAATACATATTGCATTCAAGTAAATATTTGTTTCAAGTATTTCGTAAGCTTATGTGTCCACAATATGTCATAGTATGTCGTACTATTAAATTAAAATTGAAACTTCGGTTTACTTATTCCAAATTTCACTTTTCTTCGATAAAATTGATATTCTCGAAAGCAGAGAACAAATTCTTCTCTTCAGTAAATGGTAATAAACTTTTCTAACATTTATAATGAGTATATTTTAATATTACTGTAAAGAAAATTCTTTATTTAAGACTGTTATTTAAAAAAAGAGAAATGAACTGAATAATTGTTTTTCTTTAAAGTACAATATTTGTTGAGTAGTTTGTTCATTTGAGTAGAGTCTCTTCGATTCCACCACTTTTTTTTCTCGACGTATAGTTACGTATACTATAGATTTTCTGTATACTCACAGTGAATATTGGAAAGTAGCCCTGCGAATCTATCCCGTTATTCAAATCCACTTCTATCCGCTGGATTCTCTAATGAGAACCCGAAGAGTGAAAAATAAAACGCGTGAAATAAATGTGTAGCCTCGCGAAGTGTGATTTAGATGTACAGGATTTTGCGTTTTACAGAGAACCTCGCAAAATTACAGGCTCGATCTCCACCGTCGCTCCGGATACCGCGTATCTTGCCGATCAAAAGGCACCTGGGACAAATATTCCGGTCGGGAAAAGAAAATAGAGAAAAGAGAAACGAGACGCACACACGCCGCGGCCACGGTAATCTCCATCATCGCTCTCCGGCTGCCACCGCTGGATCACGAAAGCACGAGAAAGAACGACGTTTTCAAAATGCCGTACACTCGAACATCTCGTGACTTCTCGCCGTAAAGCGAATCCTTTTCCGGTCATATTTTGTGTAATAACAGCGTTCGTAACACGGCCTCACGTGCATAAAGCGCGTTGTCTCTTATACGCTTATTGTCTCGGGTTAGTAAGTTACGCCGGTACGTCGGCAGGGGAAAGAGGCAGAGGGAGAAGAGGTGGTGGTATGAGGTGGTTGAGGTTGAAAAAGGGCTACAGTGGAGGAACAATGAGCGCGAGTGATAACACGGAGGAGGGTTCGGATTGATAAGTGTAATCGCATTTTGACGTTATCTCGAGTCTTGACTAAATACCCGAGCGAGATAACGAGAAAAAGAGGAAGAAAAAGGAAGAATGTCGATAAAGGATATTACGCGCGCGTGCGGCTCGTTGTCCTCGTGTTCACTTTATGAGTTCACTCTTTTTACGATATACGAATTAGCATCGGTCCTTGCCTGAGCACAGTTAAGATCGCGGTGGCAAGGAAAATTTGCATGAGAACGGGAGTGTCAAATTGCGAAGTGTCCGAATGTAAAATGCTACATCATTTTACAGGCTCTACGCCAAGTGTTCCATCAGCCGCGAAATTTACGCGCGGTATTGTCCGCCGGTGAAACGCGTGTTACATGCATTTTGCGTTTTTCAAACAGTTTTCCCTCTTTATGAACTGCAACAAATAAATGCGGAATGTAAACGCATATGTTTTTATTGCTTCCGATAATATACGCGACTCAGCTTTGCGCGACTTTTTTTTTTGCTCGTGTCTCTCTTTCTCTCTCTCTCTCTCTTTCTCTCTCTATTTTTCTATTTTCACGTTCCGCACAACAACATACAATAGAGGATTAGTGAAAATTTATTTTACCGCGCGTAACGCGAAACACAAACCGACGATGATTACTCGCACCTTCGACATTTAAATGGAAACGCGCGACGTTGAAATATTTTCCGTGTCGCGTGTGAACGCAACTCGTAATTCGAGCCGTGTTATCGCGGCTCCGTTGGCGCCCGTCTAGAATTTTAATCCGCGCGTTATCACTGGGAGAATATCAATGGCCTTAAATCAATCGTGAAACAGATCTGTGTGTTCACGCGCAGATACGAGGAGCAGCGGATCTTACTCTTTTGAAAGACGGATCTCGGTGCTTTCTCGGACATCGATCCGAAAGGTTGGATATCAATCACGACAATTTTTCATAAAGTCGTGACGCAGAGGCGTCTGCGGGACCCGCAATCTTGGCTTCCGCTGCACGTGGCCTTTTCGGGAGTAGTAGAGGCAATGCGGAGTCTCCGCGGCTCTGCGCAACGAAAAGCCGCCGAGCATGCCGCACCGGGCTCGGAAATTGCACGTTCCGCCTAATTGTCGTGGTAGCGACACGCACGCGCATTGTGACGCGCGTTCTTCATTTGCGATTAACGTTGTTATCGCGATCACATTCAGCCGTGATCTTCGACACCGATATACACCGGAAGGTAGTGCTTGATATTTGTGACTCTAATTGCATAAAGAAGTATTATAAACGGCAAACCTCTTTTTTTTAATAGCGAATGCCACCGTCATTGACGTTATGTTAGTGATAATAATCTTATATGCATAACTGCTCCTGTTATTGTTTCATACAGCAAGAGAAAAATATGCCCTGACGTCAGAAATAATTATAATATGCAATTCATCGTTCTTTCGCTCTCGGCGTCTTTCGATTCTTGCGTACGTATACAGATCGGCATGCCGTATACCTTGAACTTATATTATCTTGGATTACTATAATTTTCAATATGTATTCCGACGCAATGCACACGTTTGAAAATCGTGTGGCACCGAGTGAGACTGTGCCTATTTAAGCGGGCCTAGTAAAAACTTACTTCAACAATGCTACATTTGTTAACTTCTCTTGCGAAAACCAAAAGGAAAGTATAGTCGAGGCCGAAAATAACTGTAATTTTTCTCAGTGCAGATTTAACTTTAACGCTTGCTTAGAACTCTAAATACGCTCTCGATATTTAAATTGTTAAATTCACATGAGTATTCAAGACAATCCGCTAAAAGCACATCAAAATAGAAGTAAGTTACATCGTTCGAATCGAACTTATTTTGCTATCTTGGCTCCCACTGTATTGCAAAATTCAAAATTTAACTCCAAAGAACTTGACATGAAATTTTTAAGAGCGAAAATTCGACTCGGGTACGCGTCGATCCGCGTGCACACTCTCGGATATTTTCGAACGACGGTCGCAGGCGTCCGCAGAGCAAATTTCGTCGCTGGCACAGGATCGCCGCCGATGCGAGAGCTCGTCACGCTGGCTGTGCGCTCTTAACGATCCTTCGTCACCTTTGCACCTATCATTATCAGTCACGTCGGCCCACCTTCGTCGGCCGCGCATGGTAGTAGTGAGACGCACACATTGCTCGGTCACTTCGTCGATGGGAAAATCGTGCTGGTCCGGCGAAGGGTGGCCGACTCAGCTGGCCTGGCTGTAGGACTACGTCATCGTCACGGCCCTGCGATATCGGCAGGGCCTCTCCAAGGGCGCCGCAGCTTTCAAACGCGGCACTGTCGGCGTCGCGACGCCTGCGCGCCGTCCCGACGACTCACGGTGCATGGAGGACGACGAAGGCTCAGGGGCGGCAGTGCGGGTTCAGGGGGCGGCGAGGGTGGGTGCCTCCTCCGTTGGAACTACCCCTTGACAACAGACCGCGACGCATTCTCTCTCACCCTCGGCGAGCCCCGCGCCGTGCACTTCGCCTCGCGTACGTACGATTCCGCGCGATCAATCGCGAGTGCGTGGTGCGTGAGATCGGCGATCCCGTGTGCGGAACGAACGCTCGCCGCTGCCACCGTCACCACCGTCGTCGCCGTCGCGTCGTCGTCGTCGTCGTCGTCGCCCGTCGTTCTTCTCCTCTCGGGGAGGATCCGCACGACGCGCTCGGAACGACAGCTCCCGCTCGTTCAGGTAAATCGATCAACATACACGCGCGTGTACGCACGCGAGGTGTACTTGTTCCACGGGAGTCATGAGACACCGGTGAGATTTCCAATCCGCAACGCGGCGCGACGCGACACGACGCGACGCGCGATGATGCAGCGGTGTGCATCCGGATCGGGCACCCTCGCTGCACGGGGGTTACGGGCTTGAGGGGGCACGCAGGGGTTGCACAACATGCGTCCGGCTGGTAAGACCGGCACGGCGCGTCACGTCGCTCTCGCGTTTCACCCGGCGGTAATGTGCGCGTAGTAATACGCAATAACGAGAATATCCTCCAAGCGTGTACCGGTTGTGCTCCGCCGCCGATGGCGATCGTCAGGACGGACCCCCGTTATTCGCATACTCTCCGCGAGAGAGTACACAGCCGATCGTCGGTCTCCCCTTTTCCATTTTATCTCGCGTTACGATTTACTCCGAATCCACGAGGATGACGCGCGTCCAGTACTCCTGCCCAGTACTTAACGCCGGCGATTATCGTTAAGAGGAGCGCGTTTTCGTCGCGACGCATCGTGTGAACTCCCGCTTTTTTAATTTCCGTCGATAAAGTATGCAGATAGGTCGACGGCCGTTTCGAGGGTGAGGGAAAGGAGGAAGAGAGAGGCATAGCAATCTTGCAGCTTTGTGTGTGTGTGTGTGTGTGTGTACAATTTGACGTAATTTTGCATTAATAAAGCACGTTTAAGGGGGATGCGGCTCGTCGATGAAAATGTCGAGATAAGTGTCGCTAAGAGACAGATAAGCGCCGTGATAATATTGTCTACGAACGATTATTCGCTCGCATAACCGATGAGAGCTTCCGTAATAGATGAATGAGGAATTGTTTGCTAGCATTGCACCCCGCATGAATTATTCAGCCCGTCCCGGTGGATATAAAAGATAATAAATGATAAATTTACGAGACTGCACGCGGTCAATTCGTACGGGGAATATTCGTCCGCTCGTGCCACCGCGATCGTCACGATTTTCACGACGCGTCTCGTCGATCAAAAAGAAAAGAGAAGATGAAGGAAAGAAGGATACAGGAAGGGGCGGGGAAAGAGATTTTGAGGAGTAATCCTGATAACATGATAACGATAACGGATATCGCGTCGGATACATTTTTTTTACATTGTGCTTCCAATATACACGCGGGTCAGCCGAGAGATCTGACTCAGATTGTTACGCGAGAGTTACCGGCTGCTCGCGCATACCGGTCGTGTCGTAATCGCACAATCGAAAAATCTCGCGTCATCGTTGATACGTAAGAAGCTTTACCGTACATTGGATATTTCACGAAGGTTACGCTGACCCACATAAGTGCTAATGTATAAATATCGTCGAGAGCAGGTTTCCTTCCGCGAGAGAGAACTTCCTCGCCCCACCGGACGGCGCAACGTGTCGACGTAATATTCATCGTTCATTAGACTCGTCACGGAAATTGACTCTATCTATCCACGAGCCGCTCGTTTAATTAACCGATCATTAACTTTTGTTCAACTCATACTCGAAACCCCGTGCGTGACCCCGTACCTCGAGAGGTAACTGGCTGGCTGGTCTGGCGGATAAATTTGCAGAACTTTTGCCGATGGTTACGCCGGCACGATCGCGCGGACACGCGGTAAAACGTCCCGAACTGGCCGGCGCGGATCGCGCGTACTTTATCGGCGCGTATTTAATAAGAATAAAAGATTAACGTTTAAATCTACTCGAGCTTTAATATGTGTTATGCATGTATGTTGTGTGTGTATGTATGTATGTACATATATATGTATATATATATACATATATATATATATATATATGTACATACGTGCGTGCGCGCGCGCGTGTGTGTGTATGAAGCGAGCGCGCGGCTGCACGCAATGAGCCAGGCCTTGAAAAAAGTTCAAGTTGCGGAGTTTTAGCCTATAATAATGCGGATTAACGCCAGACTCGCCAAATTGCTCGCGATTTATTATTATTATACGCAAACACTCTGCCGACATGCATCGACGAACGATCCGCGGAAACTAAAGACCTGGCGTGGCGATAATGAATAAAGGCCGAGGGACCGCGTCGTCGCGTGCTTTCGCTAATATCACACGGTCTCCTTTTTCTTTGCACTGTGAGTTTCCGAAGTATCACAGGCAAGTGATTTAGCATCGTCCTTGGCCACAAAAGTTACGTATTAATTTGTCGCGTGGAAATTAGATCGGCGATTACGGCGATCTGGCGGACGGACGGTTGGGCATTTGCCGAGGTATTGAATTCATAATCGATATTTCATGGTCATTCGCCTCCCCGAAATCACCCGAGTCGAGATTTTGATACTATTTTGACGCTCTTGGATAGTTGCGTTTATTTATGTATATATATATATATATATATAGATATATATATATATATATATAGGTGGCCTATAAACTAAGAAAAACCTAATTTGACGATACTGACGCGAAGGAAAAAAGAATTAGCTCTCACAGCTAAAAATTAGCTTTCCATGTAATACAACTGAAATTTAGTTACTAGATCTAGATCCGTATTCTGAATTCTCTTGTATTGATGAAAATGTCTTAAGAGTGGCTTCTCAGCCAATCAGATGGTTCCTAAGCCGTTTTCGCAGGCACTTTTATCGATAAAAGATAGTTCAGAGTATAGTTCTAGTCTTTAACATGTGGGAGCTAATTCTTTTTTTCCGTGTACGACTATAGCTCGACTATAGTCATAGCTGTGTACGACTGTACTCATAAGAACTAGTTCCCACAGTTAGAAACTAAATAACTAAACTGAGTAAGTAACGAAATTTCATTTATATTATACGGATAGCTAATTTTTAGCCGTGGGAGCTAATTCTTTTTTTCGCGCACTTGTCAACTCCTCTCTAGGAATCTTTAATTCTACAGATTTAATTCCGATGCCACTTGGAATAATTTAAAATTTTCAAGACATTATCAGAGTCAAAGCAGAAGCAAATTATTATTAGAATCGAAACTAAAGCTATCTTGCTATCTTAGCGTTTACTCTGTTGTAGAACTCAAAGTTTAACGTAGGATCTGAATTTCGACTCGGGCAGACGAGCGAGATCGATCGATCGACGTTTGTCCGCACTTTCGGACGTTTTCCTAAAGAGAGAGCGGAAAGTTCACGCGTCGCTCTCTCATGCAATAATCTGTCGGCAATTAGTTTCAGTATGGAGTGCCCCGAAGCGGTAGAACGAGGTCGGAATTTTCGTCTACTCGCTGAAGAGGAGCTGTCTAAACTTTTGGACTTTCTTACGGGATACCTGCCCGATTCGCTCAAGGTACGTGCTCGATGTATCATCCCGCTCGCGATCGTTCGCCCCCTCGTTACCGCCCCAGTTACAGATACGAGCGTCTTTCGAATCCAGCCCCTCCTTGCGAATTGCGCAATCCGACGCTGCACACGTCTCGCATCTTCCCCGTCGTCGCCCGCTCGACGCAATTTCCTCATAAATTGCTGAACTCACTCGATGCAGAGCGCCGTTAACGGGTTGATGAGCGACACTGCGATATCGCGAGGCATTGTCTCATTAATCCGTGCGTAAGACGTAATTAGCCGCATATCACACGAGTCACACAAATGCGACGGCGGGAGGGCCCGATTAAACGAGATAAAGAGCGCATATGCCGCGAATCACGCTCATTCGTCGTATCATTGATTATATGATTTTTGCCCGAGCTCTCGAACCAACCGGTGGAAATCAACGCGGTGTTCAACGCGTTAATTTCATATTTGACGTTGACGGAGGTAAAAAAATATAGAGAAGGATAAAAAACAGCGTCTATTATCCTAGAGTTAAAACGTCCACTCGACGTTTGCCGATGACGGAAAGTAGCGTAGAGAAATACATACGTGCAGCTACGAACGCGATATTTTTGCTGGAACAGTCGATTGTTTTAAGCGGAGGATAATGATACAACGGCGGATGTATTTTTATCTAGATATGTCGTTTCTCTCTCTCTCTCTTTCTCTCTCTCATGCGAGGATGCCTGGCAGAACTCCAACACTATTATTATTATTATCATTCGAAATCGCTGTCGCTGACGCGTGCACTTGACGTTCGATCGAATAATTAATTCCTGGTGTTTAATTTTCTTAGCTTACACACGTTATTTACCTTCTACCCGGAACGTCTCGTTAGCAGGTTCGACGGATATTGGAGCTCGTTACGTTCGTCCAAGATCCAACGGAGGAACAGTACGTTCGTCCAAGATGGCTAATTACTGCACATTCAGAGTGCAAATTAGTCTGCGTTTAGTCTGCAAACGACCTCAGTCTCCTCGGCCGCGCGAGCAATACGTTGAACTAACAATCATTTCGCTGATCAATAATACAATTAAAGAGACGCGGAAAGCGACGGGACGAGCGAGAGCGAGCAAGAGAAAGAGAGAGAAGGAGAGAGAGAGAGAGAGAGGAGAACCGGACTCCGGCGCGGAACCCATTATTTTACAACCCTTGTAATAAACGCTCTCGCTTCCGCGTCCCGCGTCAGGTTTGTGTGCACTTTTGCTCGGTGTAACAATAGCGTCTCGAAATCGATATAACTCGGCGCGCAACGTGAGCACGTATATTTTTAGCAAGCCGCCAATCCAGGATAAAACATAAATTTCTATAAAGATGACACACATCTGGCAGTGTCACGCGCAAAGCGACGAATCGCGAAAGTGTGAACGCCTATTATCGTCGGCCATCTCTCGCGACTTTTGTCACCCGGTTTTGACGTACGGTCGTGACGTCGTGAATGGCGCTCGGAAACCGTTTTCTCTCTCTCTCTCTCTCTTTCTCTCGGGAGAGACAATCTCGCGTACCGTAGGAATAAGATTACCGTCGCGAAGAAAGCGATGTCTAAGCCGTGTCGTAATTAAATCCCGCCCGTAACTACTTGGCCTGAGTGTCGATGCTCGTCCGAGGTCAAGGTTGAGATCGCGCGTGCCGCGCGCGTCATTGCGTGCGCTCGCACGAATTTTCAACGCGAGAATGATAGTGACGATAGTTAGAGCGCGGAAAACATGCTTAAATATTTGCTAACAGAGTCGATCGATCAGCGCACGTAGCGCGCGCGGCGCTTCATATGCGAACGATAAACGTATATATGTGACGAGAGATCCAACTGCTTATCGAATCGATCGCCGGCCGCCGTTAACAGTAACGCGACGATAACGGAATGTCGAACTTTCGGCGATGCGACGGCGAACGCGGCCGCGCGAATGATCGATTTAACCGAGCCCCCAGCCGCAGCGTGCAGTCGTCACTCGATCGCGAGGAATATAAACGGCCGAAATGTCCGAGTTGAAATTTTGGCACTGTGTTAAATCCTTGACTCTCTCTCTCTCTCTCTTTCTCTAAAATGCAGTAAGAGATAACTGAAATAATAAAGTAGGTTCAATATCAATTCTCTCTTTCTCTCTCTCTCTCTCTCTCTCTCTCTCTTTCTCTATCTATCTTCAATAATACAGTTTATTTTAATACAGTTTATTTTAATACAGTTTCTATTTTGAGCCCGGTATTTTAAATTTATTACGAGTCTTTAAAATATAATCAAGTAATAAAGTTCTGATTGGATTCTAAGAGAAAAAATTTATTACAGGTCAATAAGAGCCAAAGCACAAGTGCCCTATAGTGCCATTAGAATATTAACATAGTTAACATTAATATTATTTGTGGAAAGATACATATTTAGTCGTATACCACACGGTGCGTCATAGTTATCGATCGTACTATGCGACTAAATAAATATCTTCCCACAAATAATATTAATGTTAACTATATTAATATTCTAATGGCGCTAGAACGTCCGTGCTTTCGCTCTTACTGGCCTGTGATAAATTTCTTTAATTAAAATATGCTTAAATTGACAAAAAACATTACTTAATTTAAGAGACCTTTTAAAACAGGTAATTACATTTACTTGGTCCTAGCACTTTTTTCCTGCGCAGTACCGTCAATGTAGGTTTTTAAAATTTTAATTAATTTAAGAATTTTTAATGTAAATTATTAGTCTATAGGTTATCCAAGTAGTCGCGGACTACCCTTAAAAGCGTCAAAGTAGCATCAAAATCTCGACTCGGGCATCCTTTCTTCGAAGGGGGAAATCGGCCTCCTCAAGGAGATGGATAGATAGAGAGAGAGAGAGAGATACAAGTTTGACCTTTCGCATCTCGGAAGAGCCACGAGAGGCGCGTATATTTGACGGATAAATAAAAGTAATTGAAACGCGCGTGCGTTTCGCGCGACGTGCCACGGGCGTAATCCGCGCGCAGCCTGTTACTCGTTGCGGCTCCGTCGCAACTTCCGAGACTGCGAGAGAGTATCGGCTCGGTCGGTGCTTTGTTCATCCTCGTTATTAGATGGATCAACATTATGACGCGCGGGCACGCTACCTTAATCGAAAAACCGACGTGCAAGGTGCGCTGGAATCAAGGCCAGGGTCGCCGCTCAGCACACACCAGTCACTATCGTCGTCGTCGTCGTCGTCGTGGTTGTGGTGGTTGTACTATTCGCGAATCGCCGCAGTGCCGATCTCGTGACCTCGCTCACGACTACGGCATCCGCGACTTCCTACTAGAGCAGAGGAGAGAGAGAGAGTCTCTTTGTCGCTATCGATGTCAATAATTGCGAACAACAACGGCGTGTCGGCGCTTAACGTTATTATCAGAATGGAAATCGCGTTTAGGGCGAGAACGTCGCCATTTATGCAGCCTGTGAAAGACGACGGCTCGTATTATTAATTTATCGATTCGATCGCGTACGTGTATGAAGGAACGAACGAACGGACAAACGGTCACGCTAAAACCGTAGATATTTTCGTCCCCCGGCACTCGTCCTCGGGCAGGAGGAGTCGCTTGTTTTCAACGCTCGCGAAAGGTCACGCTCACTTTGCAATCGTCGCGAGAGAGAGTACACGCCACAAAGGGATATCATGCGAGCGAACGTGCCGGCTCGCTCGCGGCTCCTCTTCGACCGCGTGTTCCCTCCTCCCCCCGGTTCTCTCCGTTTCTCATGGGAGAGTCGGAGAGAGAAGAAGCGGGAAATTACAACCGGCCGATCGACCGACCGGTCGACAAAAAGCAATCGGTAGCCCGACGAATTATTTATAGGACAAAAGGGAGAAGGGGAGAGAGGGTGACGGTTATAATACGTTACATCGTGACCGTATCTTAATCGCAACGGTGGATGCGTGCATCGTCGTCCGATCGATCGATCGATCATCATTGGTAAATTCGCGGGCGATACCGCCTCGCGCATGCAAAGTGCATCGATTCCGATGGCGAAAAGCGACACGGCTGCATTACGTGTGCGTTCGGGACACGACCTTGACCCCCCGGCGAACGCCTTTTCGCTGCTCGTCGTAGGGACCGGTGTCTGTGGTTTATTCCAGGATAAACTGCAGGGCCTGCGCACTGCAATCGTTTTCGTCGTGCTGCCTCGCGCTGATCGGACGCGGTGTACCACGGCGGCGGCACTCGTCGAAACTCCGCTCGGGTCGCTTCAAGCCGGCTGGTCTCGAAAGGAGCGATGCGGACCGACACCTCGGTCGCACATCGCGTGTGACTGGCGCGACACCGAACGCTCCATCCGCTTTAACGATTCCGGAGGAAAGGCGCGCGCGGACAGAGCGCGCACGCGGCTACCCCGTCGGGGAGAATCGCGAGAGAAAGCGACGTATCGATGAGATGGAAATCCTCGCGACGCCGTAAGCCGGAGCTACACGGCGGAGTAAGAAAGAGCTTCGCTCGCCGGGAAACTCGATATTAACCGGCGATCCGGTGGGAAGGGGCGCGCGAGGGAGCCGGGAATACGGCGAGAGAAGTACACACGGCGCGGACTTAGCGTTAAAGTTTACCGAGAATTAATACATCACGGGCATGTACATTGTAATGAGCCGGGATGCCGAGGTCGATGAAATGTTTACGGAGCCCGAGCGGCGCGCTTTACGAGGCGAGCGAGGCTTTAAAAGGCTAAATAGTCGGCCTGCGACACGAACGTCTCTCTTTAGCATCCGCGCGCGTTCCTCGTCACACGCACGGGAATAATGACTTCGCGCAATGATCTGTGGCGTGATTACCATATCGCCGGTAACCGTTTGCGGCTTGTTTACGGTCCTCAGAGTGATTTAAGCATGAACGTCGCTTCGAATATACGCGGAGCACGATACGATCGATGGCGCGCGCGCGCGCGCACGTGTATACGAGTGTACCACTGGTGCAAAAATCAAAGCGGTCCCCGTGCGATCTCTACTCCGGGAATTCCGTACATCTCTCCGCGTCTCTCTGCCGGCTTGAAATAATAATCGTAGAAACAAATTTTGTTTTCGCGGGAATGTAATTTTTAGATCCGCCTCTCCCTCTCTCTCTCTCTCTTTTCGCGGATTTTTCATATCGAAAACGGAATTACGTTTGAGAGACGCGAGCGTTTGTTTTATTTCGAGGCTTACGCGCGACGTTCAAAGAAGTCTGCAAAACGAGCACCGCGACATGGAATATCGCATGTCGCAAAATTCTACAGAAATATTAAGCGTCGCGTGTGTCCAATTCAAAGTTGTCGATCGCGCGCGCGTGGGCGACATGGTTACCGATAGTTTGGGAATAGCCACTTTATACTTGTATCAATTGATCGCCCGTCGATCCAGCGATGATCTTTCGAAACTTGTCGCGTTTCTATTCAATCCGTCAGTCTCCGCGACTTAGTCGCGCGCGGTTCACATAACACTGCACACACACACACACACACACACATAACACGCGTCTTTTCTAGTCGCGAATTCGTGTGTTTGAAACTTACCGTGGCTTTGAAATGCAAAATTGACTAAACTCAACCGGGCAGCAGTACTTAACGCGCAGTCCCTTTAAATACACACGCACGATGTTTCCAACGAAAATTGAAGCACCATGATAAAAATTAATTTTTCGCGGTGTTATTTTCATCGCAAAGAGAGAATCTTTTTTTCTATGAATAAAATCTCGTCAAACGAAAATAGTATATTCAAGAAAAAAAAGTGATAGTAACGTTACTGTTTGTTAAAAAAAAAAAATAGTAACGTATGTTTTGCGGAAAAAAAAGGTTTCATAGCGGATTGCGCCGAGAGATCGATAAAGAGCGCATCTATAGTATGCGTGTCCACACGCCACATGTGCTATTAGTATACATTATAACAGTTAATAATAAGGAAAAAGCACGTATTTCCACGTGTATAATATCGCGAACGTATAGAATTTCCGCGTACACGTTCCTTTTATTCGAGCCGTATACGCGCAACTTTCAGAACTACCGGCTAAAGTTACATACCTTCGGGAAGCGTGTCCGATGATTTGAAGAAGAAAATCGAACGAAGAATAGGTTGCCTCCTACGAGATCCTGAAAGCAACGCAAACGGCGCGTCTTATTATCCTTTTTCTTCCCAAACAGTTGCTATACATCGTATAGCTTTTGACGCGTAGTCTTTTTCAAGAAAATATTATGCTGTGATTGTTTTCTTCTTTCGGAAAGGTAGAAAAGAGGTAGAGCAGAGGGGATTTCGAGTTTCCGTGCGGGAATGTGATCTCTCGCGTGTAAAGCTTCGTAAATTCGTGCCCAAGTGAGAGGCGACGGTTAATTGTTGAAATTGACGTCAACTCGATAATTACCCTCGAAAAGTCGAAAATAGATGTCGTGCAAGATTGCCGTTACTTTTATCGACCGTTCTTATCTGAACCGTCGACCCGACTTACTTGTGCTCTATTACGCTATTTTTGGACGGGATTTTACGTACGCTTCGCCGCGCTCGTCGTTTTCACCGAATGCGTCCAATTAAGGAATTTCCTCGAACGCTATGCGAATACGCATAGCAATTGATATTAGTATTTGACATTTTTTCAATCCTTTCAACGCTGTACCGTATGATCCAGTTCACATATTTATGCGAACGAAAACAAGTGCTCGGCCAAAATAAAATGTTTCTTTTGAGACGAGCTTTTCAATTTCGATACATTTACATGTGTCTCTGGAGAGAGCGAACTAGAGAGAAACTTGACGCATGAGAATACCTACCATGGCCACAAAGTGGTCATTTTCAAATCCAACGGCAGCGAGCATTGTCTTTGGCTGTGAATTCTCTCCTATCTTGGAAGTTTTCTAAAAAATATCCACCCTTTCGTTTCAGACGACGCCTCTAGGAGCGCTGATAAACGAGTGTAAATAATCCCCTTTATTCATCCCGATATAAATGACGCTTTCAATTCTACGTTCCACGAAGATTGCACATAAGTTACCCCATTTTTTATATCGGTATCTCCTATAGCCTTCAGCTACCTACGCTGTGGAGCGCGTGCAACGCGTTAACATTACTTATAATCACGAAAAGGTGCTTCGCTGATAGCGCGAATTTCTTGCAGTTTCATCAGACCGTACTGACTTACATGCGGGACAGAGTCTGGGAATTCCATTTTTACGTGGCAAAAGATTGGCCCGAGGACGCGATCTGCTTACATTTCCCCGGAATGACGTTATCCGTAAGTATAAATTAAACTTCCGCTTGTGCGGCGTGATTTAAGATTTGCGGAGGCGGCGAGTCTCTTCGACGCGATCTCAAACAAAAGTTCCAATCTTCCGGCCGACGTTTATTCGAAACGACGTTCTCCCTCGCGCCACCTTGGCGTATTTTCACCGTTCAAAAAGTCGCTCGCTTCCTACTACCTACTTAAACTAACTCACCTGCCTAACTGATTTCACGCTTCTAACTCGTGCGACGCGTCTCGCGCATCCCTTACCTCACGACGACGACAACGGATCGGAAGAGGCGAACCAAGGCGAAGTATCTGGATACACACGTGGAAACGCGGCTTCGCCAGTCACGATCGTTGCGAATAAACCGTTAATACGTCAGATATCGCGTCAGATAGTCGAAAAAGCATACTCTCGGTATGCGGGAGTGCTGCAAACTCATTACAGTGTTTCCGCTCGTGCCGCGTTTCTCGATGTAGGGTGCAAGGATGGATTAGCCAATATATATTCTATAAGCTGGCTTTTCGCCAGGCTTTCCCTCGCCTCCATCGCTTCTTCCTCTTCGCTTTTCTCCTCCTCTTCCTCCTCCATCTCCTCATCCGCGCGTTGCTGACGCGGACCCGCGACTCACCGCTTAGCGCCAACCGCCCCGCCGCGTTTCCTCCCGTGCTCTTTAGCTAATTACTGCCTCCGCAGTATCATAAATCCGGCGACGGACGGTTATTAAACACGCGTATACAACGCATCTCTGAAAAAACATCAACGCGCCACCGCAGTGAGAATTACAACGTGTGTCCCTTGACATTTAACACCCACGGCATCGCCGATCCCCATTCGTGCCGCGGATTCGACGTCGGGCGCGGCCGCCCGACACGTTTTCCGACACGAACGTAACCGGAGGACTCTCAAGGCTCGCACCGCGGACGGTAATTCGGTCGTTCGAACTTTAATATGAGGCGTGGGTCACGCGGCGCCCTACATCTATTCCGTAAATCCGAGAAAAAGTGACGCAACGAAACGGTCGTAAACAGCGTGTAATGATTTCTCACGAGCCTCCCCCCTCCCCCGAGACGAATTCTACGGAGGAATTTCTGTGAGGAATTCGCCTCTCACTCCGCGTGTTCTGTTTTTTTCCTCTCCGATCCTCCGCTGACGACTAATCGCTAAACGTCCTCTCGGCCACCCTTTCAGCCGCACGGTTTGCTGTACGAGAGCGTCGGTGTGTTCTGCCCGAACGACCGGCTGGAGCTGCTCCGCCTTCTCCGAGAGGAGGACGTCCTGATAGACTGGTCGAGACCTTTGTACATTAATTTCGTTCACTACGACATCGCCGAGGAGCTGATGCGTCTCTACGAGGGCACCGGCACCGTCGAGACCATCGTCGGCGACGTCTGCGCGCGCGACTACGTGCAGGAGGAGGAAAGCGAGGAGTCGGACGATGGTTCCGACGTCCAGGTGCGACCTCTCAAGGCCGAGCACGCCGAGGGCATCCACGAGCTGTATCCGGCGAACGACATGGAGTGCCACGAGCTCTTCCTACGGCTCATCAGGACCCTGCCCGCGGCCGGTGTGTTCGCGAAGGGCTGCTTGGCCGCTTGGATGGTCCAGTCCTATTACGGGGCCATGTTCTCCATGCAGACCAAGCCGGAATACCGCAGGAAAGGTTACGGGACGAAGCTAGCAAGGTAGGCAGGCCCGTTCGTGGTGTTCGCGATTAATAAAACAGCGTGTCCGTAATTTCGACCGCTGACGCTCCGTCACTTTTCTAAATTCGCTCCCGCGGCCGGTGTTAAATAACCGTTGTAAATGTATTATTCGCGAACCGTTGCGCGTAAACTGAAACACCTAACGTAACATGTAACGTGACATGAAAGGCGTGCTCTGAAAATTTCAGGTACCTGACGAAACGCGTGGCCGAGAAAGGCTATTATCCGTTTGTTGTGATACGTCCAGAGAACGAAGCCAGCCAAAGTCTGTACAAGAAGCTGGGCTTCAGACGGCTTTACCAGATCGTACGGATGATCTTTACGCCTTCCACGTGGCAGGACAGCGAGAACGACGCGAGCATACTCAGGGATAACCTGGAGAACGCCGTCAGGCAGCTCACCATCGAGCGGAGGGTAATAACGGCTCTTTGCGATCGGGAGGAGGAAAGCGGAGAAACGATACGAGATCCCACGGGAGCCGTGGAAGACCAGTCGACCGTCGGTCAGTCCGGCGGGACGGAGGAAGACGAGGAGCTCCTCGAGACTATCGAGGAGCACCCCGAGGAGAGGATAGACGCGACGGACGACAACGCGGCGGGCGAAGACGCGCCGCCGGAGGTCGCCGACTGTTGCGACTGCGGGACGGATGCTGCGGCTGGCGACGAATAAGTTCGAGAACGGTTTACGCGATAAATGACGGTCCATAAATGCGCGTTTCGCCCGCTCGGAGACGCGGCTCTCCTCGAGCTGGTGAACTCGACACGAGCTGGGAGACGGCCAAGTATTCGAGTAATGTTAAACAGTGATGTACGGAGCGAGTACAATGAGTTCTCGGGGATAATATACGGTAGAGACTCGCTATACACTTCTTCTGGCGCATTACCCCGCTCATTCGTTTGATGTTTCGTCGTCGAAAACGTACGTCTTGAAATGTATCTTACGAACGATAAGATATCGTATCGAATAGGTTTTCATTCGGGGACACAATGGTGTATGCTTTACGTGGCGAGGAGTCCGCCGTCTTCGAGCGACGAAACGCGAAAAAGTCAAAGATAGAAAATATTTTAAGAGATTTCGACATATTACGGCACCGCGTTCGTGCGAGGCTTCAATTCGCGTACGAGGAATCAAAATTCCTCGTATGATTCCTCATATCAGACACTTGCCGAAACGTCGCGAAGGTCTCAGGTATCGGATAGCCATGTAGTGCTTTGGGTTGCCAATATTGTATCTCGTCGAGGTCTATCCGTGTCGTGTGTATCGTTCTTGTGTTATATTGGTGAATTATTTGAGTCATTGATTTGAGAATAATCATTAATTTCAAATCATCGATGTGTCAAATGATTGGTCGTGACAATGCGTTTAGTGACGTCTCTATTTAATATATATTCGAGTACTTTTAATTGAATATGGAATTATCGCGTATATCGTTTGACTATGTTGTGTCTATATTTGTGTCTAGTTTTGTCCCTTTGTTCCAAATGTCTCGTTTACGTCACCGCACAATCATCAATTGGCCGATAAGATATATTTGCGTGGCGTAAAATTATCATGTGTTTGTTAAGAGATTTCGTGTAATTTGTAAACCTCACGTTTCTATCTCCAGCTATTCAGACGTAAATAGACTTCGTTGGTTTAAACTTAAGCATTCCAGGAAGCGGCCCGTTCTCCGCGAGGAAAGATTTGCAAATTTTAATGTTGCAAGGGAAAATGAGAGGACGCGTTAATTTTCACCGAACGCAAAGATTCGAAAAGCCCGCCGGGTGATCCAAACTGTGATCCTAATTTTCCTGTATAAAAGTAGAGTTTCGAAAGAAATTACGAAGCCTCGTGCGATCTCGACACGCTTTCCTCAATACAAATAGAAATGAATCGCCGCGCCGGTGCAATTGCACAGACAAAAATTGCGGACGAGCCGTACGCGGTGAGATTACGTCCCGCCAATATTGACCTTCTATATTCTTCGATTCGCATACGTTTACGCCATGATTTCTAGGTTACATAGATAGTACGAGACCACAATTTCATTGTAGCAAGAACGCTTTGCTTCTCGTGATTGCGGGATTATTGACAGGTGCCACAATTTTCTGTGCACGTTTCGTGCACCGTTACGGCGATCACCTTAGCGTGCGAGTTAATAATAATGATAATATTAATGATAATGCAAACAATAAGATGGTTAATATTATTATTAANATATATATATATAATATAAATACCGCGCAAAGGGAGAGCCTGGCCGGGTCAGCTCCGTCCCCGAGGAACCCCGAGATCTTAGATAGCAACTATTTGTATAATTTTTTCTACGTTTCATAGATGACTTATCAACAATACGTAAAGACGGGTGGTTACGCGTAAGGAATCGGTTCCGAGCGGACGGAGTCGGGGCGACCGCGTGACTCTTTTAAGGCCCCCGAAATCCCTCGTTTATTTTTGATTTCAATGTTACCGGGGGCCAGCTGTGATACTTTATCCAATCCACTTACACTCTCTGGTCGTGGTACCAAGACTAGTCTAGGCGAAGATCAGTCGTTGTTAAACGGTGCGCTCGGAGCTCAGCGAATTCCATTTATCTCTTTCGCGCGTTACGTTACCTCGCGAATTCGATCTTGATCGGACGAAGAGAAAAAGAGAGAGAGAGAGAGAGAAAAGGGACATTTCGATCGAAGATGTTTATGATGATCCGTATGTCGAATGATACATCCGGTGTTTAATTTCGTAACTCTCGTGATTACTCGACCAGCACACCTACTCTCTCTTTCACTTTCCCTCTCTTTCGGCGTCGATAATAAAATTGAAATAAGTGGAAAACTGAAACAACCGAATTGGATATTCGAGGCAGCGTCGAAAGAATGGCAAGTAGGCCCCAGCGTTCTCGATGCTCGGAATTGAGTTTACGAATCTAGACCGCTCGTATCTCTCGAGTTTATTCGCAAAACGGTTCCGCATTACAGACTCAAGTGGTGAGTACGATTGAAGGGGGGATCCGGCCATTACGAAAAACTCAAGGACCTCGCTCGTACTTAATCGTGTCAATTAAAGTCCTCACGTGCGATAGACGTTCGTATCTCGTCGTTTCGTCGATCACGCAACGACTCGACATGAAGAAGACGAAGGAGAAAAGAAAAAGGAGCGCGGAAAACGACGACCGTTTGACCATCTCGCGGACTTTGCGCGCGCGCGCACCTTCTACTTAGTATGATTTCGAATCACGAATACAAAGCAAAATAGCTCCCGTTACAAACGTGGTCAGTGTATAGTCTCGAGAGCGTCGCGATATCTAGTTTTATATCATGATAAAAGACGGGGGCTGGAACGGTGCGGTTTATCGTGCAGCGCAATTGCGTATTGCGCAGTGGAGTTTTTCGCAATGGCCCTGCTGTATCTGTATCTCCGTTGCATAGGTTTAAGTAGACGAATCTCTTTGACTACTACGCTTCAGCTTCGAAAAGACAGAGACTCCGAAACCAAATTCGTTCGTATCCTTCTGAGAAAAACGTCCGATCACATCTGATTGGATAATCCAATTAAAAAGTAACAAACTTATATATCCGATGAAATGTAATGTCCGACCATTTCATCGTTTCATTCGATCGAGCAAAGTAAGTTTATTCGTTGAAAATTACAACGGATATAGGAAGGACAATTAATTTTCCGATCAGGTTTCATCGGTAACCGCATCGGTAATTTCATCGGATAGAGGTATCCATTGATCAGATAATAAAAATAACAATCGGACACATTATTTAGTCGGTTTATCCGATGGAAATTTTTCTCAGTGCACTCTCGATTCACGCACAATTCCGACGACGATTTCCGGTAGGAGCCGGCTCGAAACGATCGTCGGCCCGCGAAAGCTTCATCCCGGATATCAGTTTCTTCACGAAAAATTGCGTAGACAGAATATAACAAAAGAACTTCAGTCGTCGCTCGACGTTAACACGTCCAGCGCGTTCACCCGTTCGAAAAATCTCTTGCTCGCTGTTAAACTGCTGCAACGGAACGAAAATCCACACGGGGATCACACACTGCTAGCGCGAATGAACAACAACGAACTAATTACTACGACACTACTATACCAGCCTGTATGTAGTATGCTAATCCTAGCGCTGTGTTAAATCAGTGTCTCGCGAATTAGGCCTAAACCTAAGCGCCCGATACTTATGTAAATATAATACGTACATATATCCTTCCTCTTTCCTTCTCGTACACGTTGCCTTCTGTCGCAACAAAAAGCAAAAAAAGAAAAAAAGAATGAAAATCTTTGTCTGGAGAGCAACCGCGCGATTCAACTCCTCGGTTCTCTACGATCTATGAAAGTTACACGAGGTAAAGAAAAAAAAAAAAAAAACGAAGTATAATTTAAAGTCGCCGATGCAAAGCGTTTCGAATCTATTTGTTATACAGAGCGATTGTGCGAAGAGGAGAGTGACGTTCGACGACGTAGTGCCAGTATTTTTCTTTGTGTTCGCACACGATCAGGGGGCGGCGCACCACAAACGTAATCTGTGAGAGCGAGAAAGAGAGCCAATTTGCGAGAAAAGTCGGTAGTTTTGTGAGAAATGGATAATCGGAAAACTGGACAAAAGAGCTTTGGATAATAAATGGGACAAACGAATATGATTTTTCAACGATAGTGTCGTTTATTATGCGCTCGATCGCTATACATCCATTCGCATCACCTGCTCATAGCATGTTCATAGCATGTGCAAACAATGGACAAAGCCCTGTGCACATTCTTCGTAAGTTACTAATTTATCCAACCAACGCGAGCAATGCCGACTCTCGGCCGAACAAGTCACCCGGGACGGCATTTGCGACAAAGGATGATGATTTAAACGAATTAACACTTTTCTCTTATCCTTCTTTTGAACATTAGACTTTTTTTATATCAAAAACGGAAAGTTTATATCTGTATAACGTTTCTCGTTTAAACAACACGACAAAAAAATCGGCCACATGAATATCGTAGCGGGGAATGTGCGATGAATTGACTTATCGCCACTTGAATTTGCATGTACAATGAGTTATTCTAAAAAACAGAGATTTGCTTTTCAAATTTCGCGTTTATGTCGTAATTAACAGGCTGTTATGTTAAACACGGTAAGGCATGTTTACGTTATTACTTAGTACATGTGCCTTCTCCTATCTGGCACAATTATTATTCACATTACCTTGCCTTCGGTACGGCTGACGCGACACGATAAATTATTTGCGTTAACATCGGCTTACACATCACCTTCTTTCTCCTTCTCGAGTACGAAACGAGCGGAGCAAGTTGATACATCCTTTATTTCAAGTAACATCTTTATATTCATATACCCGACACGTGAATTTCACGCGCATAGTGCGGGTAGTTAACGCCGTGATATCACCTTGTCACACAGATTTCACGTAATTCGGTTTCATCCGAGAGAGATCTAACATACGTAGTTCCTGTCACTTCACAATTCGTATCATCACCACGCGAACTTTCGCGCTCGCAAACGAGAGACACGCCGGAGAGCAACGTTTCCGTGGGCCGCCGACGCGACGTATCACCCGTGTAATTCCAAGGATCAGGTCGAAAACACGTGTGCACTCGAAGGAAAAAATAAACGAATACAAACGAAACAACACAGGTTTCTCACTCACTTGAAATGTCACGTAAAATTTTGGGAATCCTCGGCAACCTCGGCACCCTGACCGCCACCATGTTCTCGAAGAACGTTACGCCATTCGGTGCAGACGCATGATATTCGTAACGGCGTCCAACGGTTCGAATACGGACTGAAGTGCGTCGATTATCGTCGACAGACGTTGGTTCTCGTTGTTAACACTAGTCTCACGGCGCATTCTTGCGTCCGGTGCTCGGACGTGTATTCGGAAACGCGCGACGGACGAGCGTGACGCGTACTTCCACGATTACTGCGAGCGACTACGAGGAACTGCCGCGGGTTAGCACGGAGCAGCGAAACGACAGGTGACTAGTGCGGACTGAACGTCGCGCCATGCGCACCGCCGTCGCGGCGTCGGCTGAGCTCGGCCGCACTCGGTTGTCTCCGGCGGCGCTTGGTGGGGTGACCAGTGTATCCGTGACGTCACATAATTAGAGTAAATACAAAGTAGTCTTGATGGGACAGCGGCGTGCGCCGCACCGTGAGTCGCTGGTCCGCGCGCGTCAAACCTATATCGCTCCGATACACGCACACCGCGATCTCGCGAGTAGCTCTCGGTGATATATCTGCGCGCTATGTGCCGTCAGTGTGTGTGTGCTCCAAGGGATCCTAGATGACTGTGGGAATAGTGAGTGACATCCGTGCCGCGAAGAAATGGATAAGATAGAGGTGAGTGTGTGTCGAAGGGAATGCCGGGTAAACGCGAATTTCGTCCCGCCGCCGTAACATAGCGCCACAAAACAAATTTCGCGCTTTAACGCTTTTTCGCCATTTTTTTCCGACGAAATATTCTTTATACTTTTTAATCTCCGCTCCGTGCTTCTGTCCTCCCCCTCCCCTTACTCTCTCTCTCTCTCTCATTCTCGGCTGCTGCTGCCCCCTCCTCTCGTTCCTACCCCCTCCCCCCTCCTACGTAACCGTCAGATTTACCACGACGAATACTCGCTCGACCGTAATGCAGAAGTGACAGCGTGTTGACGAGTGAGGCGGAAGGGATAGAAAATGGTGGGGAGATGATCGTGTAGTTAGACATCTGGCAACGAATACCATTGTATGTATCTCCGATGTGCCGTACTATTAGATAGACTGGTTGCTTGTCTCTCTCTCTCTCTTTCTCTCTTCTTTACTTCGACATCAGTTCATCCGTTCATCTCCGTTTCATTTTCGATCCTCTCTGTCAAGTTTATGGCTCCGTCCTTATCTCGCCCGTCTCCCGCCGACTCTGCCTTTTACTCCCTCCCTCCCTCCCCCCTCTTTCTCTGTCTCTTTCGGTCTCTGTACTTTTTCTCCCTCTCTTTCTCCGACTGTATCTTTCTCCATTTATGCCTTGCGTCTTTCTTCTACCGACTACTCTTCGTATCTCCGTGTCTTTATCTTCTCTCTTTATCACACCGATCCTCCTTCGTGCCACTCTTCTTCTCTTTCTCGCTTACTCTGAGTTAGTGAGGTATTTATAGATGTGCTTTAACCCGATTTAACACAGCTACTTCGACTCGCATTGTCCTAACGATTATTTAATGAGAAATTGCATTGTTTCACGATCCTCATTTCTCCCCTTCGCTACGGAATCAGCTTTCGCTGATTGATATCGCAAGTCGAGCAAACGACTCTCTCTCTCTTTCTCTCTCTCTCTCTCTCTCTCTCTCTCTCTCTCCCCCCCCCTCCTTCCCTCCCTGTCTGTGCGCGTGTATGTTTACGATACAAAAAGGAAGATTAAAAAAAAAAACGAAAAGACGAGGCAGAAGCAGCGGCAGCATTGTCCGTCACACATGTCCGAGAGTCGAATCAATAAACGGTTACGCCGTTATTACAAAGGACAACACTGTTATGTTTTCGTGACCTCGGCGCGAATGCGAATCCAATTTCGGAGCTTTTAAGATCATCTCGCGAATAAAATCGCGGCTACGGCTACGACCACGGTGGCTGCGACGGTGGCGGTGACGGTGGTGAGGGTGAAAAAAAGAGGAATGTTTTCGTAGTGCTCCGTCGAAAAAGGCATGTACAGTCCGCGGAGAAAGTTAGGTCGCACATCGCGGAGGAAAGTGTTATTGTCGTTTTCTTCGGTGACTATCCGCCGAGCGTGAATCCTGTTTATTTACATTGCCGCGCGGAATATTGTCGGAACGTGGATGCGCAGTGATTTGTTTGCGACACTGCGACGAGTCATTGACGATATATTGTATATGTATAAATATTTCGCTCGCTCGCTCGCATACATGACGAAGCTTAGGATTTTCTAACGGACGCAATTTTTTCGACGCGCTCTTCCCGGCGCGTGTGCTACTCTGCTTGAACTCTTCATGCCCACCCCGTCCCCTCCCCCCTGTTGTCCGCTCACAACTCCCAGCCCGTTTCCCACCCACCGCTCACGTTCTACCCGGACGAATTGAAAGTATACGTTTGAGAATTAAATCGATAAACGCAGAGGTTTCTCGCGGAGTCTTACGACGAATAATTATTGTATGTATCGGCACACACATACACACCGGTTAGTTTCTCGATCGTTAGTTTGTTTTGCAAGTGCGGCGAGTTGAATTTGGAAACTGTCGTCGCGTAATCGATACAAAATGAAAGTTGTAGTGCATTAGGAAATTCCACTCGATTCGTTCTTGAAATAATTTCGCTCGACTCGTTTTCCAGATAAATGAGCCTGTCTAACGTGATATACGGAACACGATTTATGTACCGTCATATTAGCGATTTCTGTATTCATCGCTGATATAGATTACTCGTGTCTTCCATTCGCGGGAACAATAGAGCAGAGACGGCCTAAAACCTCTCTCTCTCTCCCTCCCCCCCCCCTCTTTTTCACGAGTTAATTCTACGATGAAATCAAATTCCAAGGTGGAAGACGATCGCCGCCATTCAAGCCGATCGGCCTTGCTTTCGCTCGCTTTTGCGCGATCGGAGTTACAAAACGAATCCGCGCACGGAAATAAAATTCACGCGTCGGGGAACAATGGAGGTGATTTACATCATCTCATCTAATCCTCAGCGAGTTTTCCGTGCCGTAAACAAACTTTCTTTCTTCTTCTTTCCTTCCTTTTTGGTTACGAAATCAAATTCGCGTGCGCGCGCANGGGGGGGGGGGGAGCATTTTATTTGCGCGCTCCGTTTTCCCTTTAATTATTCTCACGTTTATTTCGCGCAGGGATCTCACGAGATGAAATAAAATGTCGCGAAGAAGGTCACGCAGCTGGATTTATAATGTCATGTATTTTCCGACACGAGCGGCAAACGCTCCCGTAAGCGAAACGAAGCGATGAAATAAAAGCGGCGTGCAAAAGAAGTAATAGCGACGATTTGTATCGTCTTTGTTTTTGCGCGCGCGGCAAAAATCGATGCCGCCTGCATAGTTGCGGCGATAAAGATACTAAATTTAGTACGTGCACTTTAAAGCGTACGCGCGACGACGAGTGTGCACGCCGGCGTATTACGTCACGATAAAAATCGGCATTTTCCGGACGATCGGCGAGGAGAAATATTAGAACTTCGCGATCGGTTTTTCTCGGCCTGATCGAAAAATACTCTGAAATTCGCGTGCGTGACGCGGCGATTCTCACCGAAAGCAATAAAGTCGCCGTGCGTTTTCTCGCGGCTTATTTTACGCTCGAGGGTTGCCTAACTAACTACTTTAATCGCGTCGTTGATTTTGATTTTGAAATTGTATCGCGCGCGGGTGATAATATAACATTGGCGCTCGAATATCATGTTTCAGCGCGATGTCGAGCGTAAACGGTGACATTAAAACGCGCGAGGCTTTCAATGCAACTTTAATATTTTTGTTGTGCCAATTCCGCGAGAACACGACCGCGATTACACATTAGAGCGTGGTCGTTTCCTCGAAATATCCTTTCTTCCGATTTCGTTAGTGCCGCTATGTTCGCAGAATTATTATCACATCGTTGCTAGAAACGAAACCGAACCGTTATTTTTATCGAAGGCTACGTCATTTAAATAAAATTCATCATTTAAATAAAAATCAAATTCAAATTATTTAAATAAAACGCAGTGTAACATTTACATTCATCGACGATCGTGAATTATTAGTTTCACCGGTACGGTAAATTTCTACGCTAATAAATTTATCTGTAACAAACTGAAATTACAATGTATAATTAAATGTTATCATATTCAACGGTCGGTGCTTTTGCGCGCGCACACGTGTGTCTATGTATGCAACGGGATAGCCGACGGTGTCTCGTCCGTGTTGGAAAATTGTGAATTCCTGTTTAAATTTGTAATTATAATACACTATAAGACACAAAAGCCTTGCACGCGTGTTCACCTGCCGTACGTGGAGTTATCCTTGTTTTTAATACGAGAGCGTAAGCTACTACTCACAGAGTTCCTCCTTCTATCTCGCGCGCCTCCAAGTATCCTCCTTTTTATATTAATTTATCCGGTAATCGGTACGTGTGCATACGTACCCTGTTACGTGGAGTCGCATATCGGACGTGTTTACACGCCTGTATCTCTGTGTGAAATCATCGGGATCGCGTTCGTGCCACCGCGACATTGTGTGCGCGCGTGCGTGTGCGCCGCTGTGTGCGTGCGAGCGCGCGCGCGCATCGTAAGCCGAACGCATACAGCGCGAATCAAATTCAATCGAGCGAACAGGACAGGTGCCTGCCTCCCCTGTCTGACAATAGCCGTGCGGTTGAAATTGCGGTCAAAAATGCGCCCTACATAACGGGTAGAAGTATTCTTTCTTGTCGTCGGAAAAATATTTGCTTCAAAATGTACTCGTGCGCGCGCGCGCGCAGGCACGTATTAATTCGTCGCGAGAAACTCGTGCTCGTTGCAAAATTGACGCGGTCCCAAGACCGGTCGTTTCGCATTTAACTTTAATTTAAACGGTTTTAAAACTGAATTTTCCGTAATTTTATTATCTCAGCAGTATATACACATATATGTGTGTGTGTGTGTATATATATATATATATAATGAAACTACGACTTTTTGATTGAAATACGAAATAACCGGTGGCGAATAGAATAAAAACAAAATTAATCGCGTTGATGGAAAAAGTTTCGCTGGCGTATTTATTCGAATTTATAACTCGCGCGGACGTGCGTGCATTTATTGATCTTTTTGTGCCACCCATTATCCATCCATAGAATCTGCCTTGCCTGCCCTCTCCTCTTCTCTCTCTCTCTCTTTCTCGCCCGCCCGCCTGGCCGTCCGTCCGTCCGTTCGCTCGCTTGCTACCCGCCGCCTTTCCCCTCGTTTTATCTCTATTCAGCCCTTTTCATCGTAGTTGTACCGCGCGTCAATGTCTGTAAATATTAACGGCGTTAATCTAAATCCTCGACATTGATTTGACCCGACTCGTCGTCTTTTCTCTTCGACCTCTTTTATTTTCCGTCTCTCCGGCTAACGACATTAAACGGAAGTACCCACTGCTACCTTAATGGAATTTACTTTTGAAGCTTCGTATAGCTCGGTGTACTTACGAGCTCCTTGTAAGAGAGAGAGAGAGAGAGAGAGAGCGCGTGAGAATGACAATTCGACACTGGTTAATTAATTAGAGATTAAGAATTGTCAGTTGCGAAATTGCATGTCGTCGCGCGAAACACCTAACTGCAATTTGACGCATCGCGCGTTCGATGTAATTTTAGCAGTTGTGTAAACGTGGAACTTTTCGTGAGTCGTGTATTCTTCATCAA